ATGTGTGTGTGTGAGTGAGTGAGTGTGAGTGTGTGTATGTGTGTGTGTGTGTGTATGTGAGAGTGGAGGAAGTGCCTCTGCTTTCTCCATAAACATCTTTATGAGCAGGTAACTCGTTAACATAAGTCAAAGAGGAAAAAGCCCACCTACTGATGATATTCAATATACACCATGACATAATGGTAATACACTACCAGTCAACAGTGTGGAATACATTTAAAAACAATTTTTTTCATTTTCTTCTGCTCACCAAGGCTGTATTTATTTGAGCAAAAATACTGTAAAATTGTGAAATATTTTTACTATTTAAAACAGTGCTGCAGGGTCACATATGTCATGAAAATAATTCTCAGTATTTCGCTTAAAACATGCATGGGGTAAATATGCTTAATTGTCATGTAAACCTTAAAAAAAATCATTTCACAATTTTTATAATATAATTTATAATTATATTATTAATAAATCTAACAAAAATAAATAAAGCAATAAATAAATCAATGTAGCATTACTACAATTTCTGAGTATTTAGCTTAAAACATGCATGGGGTAAATATGCTTACTTTTCATGTCAAATCGTCCTCAAAATTATATATATATATATATTTAAAAAAATCCTTATGTTAAATTAGAGTGTATAATATGTATAATAATGTATAATAATTAGAGTCAATAATATAAATCTGACATTAAATAAATAACTTTTAACAATTATTTAAAAAAAGTAAAGCATTTCACTTGAAAAAAATAAAAAAATAAATAAATTACTCGGCATTTAGCTTAAAATATGCATGGAGTAAATATGCCACGAGAAATATTCCTCAAAATACTCTAAAAAATTCCTCTGCAAAATATTATAATGAACAATATATTATTATTAATATATCTAACACTGAATGAATATTTAGCAATAATTAATACATAAATAAAATGTAGCAGTTACAAAATGTAACGCATTCTTATGTAGAACAACATTTTAACTTCTAAGTCTCTAAATGATCAACATGATCAATCTGTTCTGTCCCACTCGATCTCCTCGTGTCTTCTGTCTCTGATTGAGAGTTTAGAGTGTTTTATCCAGTAAAAGCTCTTTTAGTGTAATTGTAGAAACGTCCAGCTTCAGCTTCAGCTTCTCGTGTCAAACCTTGACTGATTTTCATCAAGTAAAGGTCAGAATAACTGCAGTAATATCTCCAGATGAACACTTACTGGACTGAAGCAGCTCAGCTTTACTTGATTCTCCATCAATCATGTTTTAGAGTCTCAAATCTGATCCTCAGGATCTTTTGAGGAGCGTTTGTTTCCAGAAGCTTTACTTTCACTGTTCCTCAGCGGAGGAATGATCTTCACAAGCCTCCAGAACATCTCACATCTTCTGAGGAGCCTTTATTTCTTCAGCTCTCCATCACTGCATTATATGTTCGGATCATTTCAGTCTCATCTTACTGAGACATATAATTTCAGATATAGAGCGACGACTGATATTCAGATCATTTTATGTCAGTATCTGCTGCATTGATTAATCAAGGTTTTTCATTTCAAACGAACACTGAAGACGAGTCCTGCATTTACACATGAACAGCAACTAAATGCTGTACTAAACTGTTGGTTCAAGATGGAAACAGTCTATTTGCGGAGTAAATATTAACCGTGAGTGATGAAAGCCGCTTTTGAGCTTCCAGTAAAGAGATGTTTGTGGTGAAGGACTGAAACGCTCCACAAAACAAACCGTTTTCACACGAGAGACAGATGATAATGGCATGTCACAAAACACTCATCTGCTCATATACTGATCGACATGTTATGGAAAATGTTTTAAGCTCAGGTTAAATCGCACAGGAAAAACTGGAGGTGAATGCAGAAATCACTCAAGTGTTTGCAGGACAGAATCACGTCATGCAGACGTCTGAACGCCAGGCGCTTCGACTGAGATGTGTGTTCAGCCATCTGAACCGTATCTGCTAACATCTCCATCTGGTGACATTTGGACTTCAAATATCTGCACATGCAATGCAGACGAATCTTTGGCAGTTTTGTATAATTGCTGATATGCTTTAAAAGGGTGATATACCAAAATATATCATATATAGACCAAACAGACAATGGTGCCAATTAGATGCAAAATAATTGACATAAAACAAGGAATCTGCATATTTATTGGAATTAAATCTAAGAGTTATTTTCAATTTCTAAGACTCTGATGGTAAAATATGTGATTACTGGATAGAATAAATAATATCTTATTTTAAGCTGCAATAAAAAAAAAAAGAGGCGCATATATATATTAGGGATGTAACGATTCACTCAACTCACGATTTTTATTTTTTTTAACAAAATGAGATTTAAGACAAATTATAAATAAATGTGTCCTTTATTATTAGACAAATTATTGCTTGGACAAAATGCTGCACGTTTCTTTGTGAAACTGAAATATAACACTATAATAATATACTAATATAGCACTTGCATATCATTGCTCTTTTGTTGGTTTTGATTGCTTCTATTGTCCTCATTTGTTAGTCACTTTGGATAAAAGCGTCTGCTAAATGACAACATTTTAATATAACGTAAATGTAAATAACAAAACTAAATAGAAATGTTAAAACAAGCACCAAATCAAATAAGTAACACAAATAAAAGAAATCTCTTCATATAATCAAACTATAAGGCTTTGTCTGTGCTTGTAACATTGAAAATTAGAGGCAACCACTGCATTTTAATCTGGATCCAAACAAAGATGCTGCATACATGCAACATGAGCAGTTTTTAAACTACATTAGATTGTATAGTTTCGAACAAAGATGCTGCATACATGCAACATGAGCAGTTTTTAATCTAAATTAAATTGTATAATTTCGAAATTTGAAGCAAAAACAGAATGGCTTGACTTCAGTTTTGTGAAACTATACATAAACTTATCTGCATGAAACAGAAACAGCAGACAAGCTGAACGAGACGCAGATGCACTCTCTGCCAGCAGGTGGCGCTTAAGGCGTTTCATTGGTTTTCGCTGTAAACAAAGCAGCGCTGCACTTATGAACTGCAATATGCGTTATACAGAAGCAAGATGAAATGAAAAAATACCTTCGAAAGACAGTAAGTTCCCCTCAGACATGCATTCATATAAACTCCTACACCTAAATTAATTGCGATTTGTTTAGCATCTCAACCGATTTTATATCGTCACATATTTTAATCGATTTTCAACTGGCTCGCGGTTGAATCGTTACATCCCTAATATACTGTATATATATATATATATATATACAGTGGGTACGGAAAGTATTCAGACCCCCTTAAATTTCTCACTCAAAAATTTAAGGGGGTCTGAATACTTTCCGTACCCACTGTATATATATGGTTCCAAAATGTATAAAATGTTTCTTTTATGGTGGAATAAAATGTATTGTATTTCAGTGTAATGTATTTTAATAGCGATTGTCTCGGTGCAGGGTACCCCTTCAGAGCTTAAATCTTCGCATTTGTAACTCTAAAAATGATTTTATATTTATAATTTTGGAGCACCTAACACCACTCCTTACCCTAAACCTACCCACATCTCAATGATATAAAACACAAGCAAATGTAAGTGTAATGATCTCTAGCTGGAGTGCCCGTGAGCTTTGCTAGAGGGCACTCCATCCCAGACTCTAACACTCCATCAAAAACTTAATTTCCCATAATCCTTTGCCCGGACTCATCAACACTCACTGTTTGCACCTGTGTCTCATTTACCCTGTCTGCTCACCCTATATAAGTCTGGTTTAGTTTGTCATTCTTTGTGAAGTCTTGTAAGTGTTACACTGCATCTCTGAACGGTTCTCCTGTTTATATGTATCTTGGTTTTTTGGACTCTTTGCCTGCGTTCTCTGCCTTGTTGTTTAGTCGGACTGATTGCCTGTGTGTTGACCTTTGCCTGTTGTCCGATTGCGATTCTGGACTTTCCTAATAAACACTGCATTTGGATCCTCACTCAGTCTCTGAGCAGTCCGTAACAGAAGACTTCGCCGATAACGGATCCAGCAGTAAAGATGATGTTTCTCCGCCAAGGTACACGTTCCATTGAGGATTATGTTGTGGATTTTCTTGAACTGGCACACGTGACTCATTTAGATGAAATATGCTTAATTATATTTTTTCAAGGGGGCCTATCTGAACCTCTCAGCTCAAATATGCCACTGCATGACCCTAACTGGACACTGGAGTATTATATTGAAGTAGCATTACAGCTGAGTGGCTCTCCTTTTACCATGGGCATAGGTAAATTCAGAGGAGGAGAACGATTCTCCCATAGTAATCTCCACTCCTGAGCCTTGTCACAAAATGGCCGCCAACCCAGAGACTGATCATAAAATGGCCGCCAGCCCAGAAACTATTCCTCTAGACCAGGGGTGTCAAACTCAGTTCCTGGAGGGCCGCAGCCCTGCATAGTTTAGTTCCAACCCTGCTCCAACACACATACCATGTAGTTTTCAAATAAGACTTAATGACTTGTTTAGCTGGATCAGGTGTGTTTAATTAGGGTTTAATCTAAACTGTGCAGAGCTGTGGCCCTCCAGGAACTGAGTTTGACACCCCTGCTCTAGACTCAGTGCTCCCTGTAATGGGGGTCGCTATCCTGTGCGTTTGGGCTACTCGCTGCTCAATTACTCCTCCTGAGTCTGCTCCAGCTCCCCCAGAAGTGGCAACTTCTGCTGCAGAACCTCCAGAGGTGGCGCCAGTCACTGCAGAACCTCCAGAGGTGGCGCCAGTCACTGCAGAACTTCTCGAGGTGTTGGCTTGTGCTGCAGACCCTCCCGAGGCAGCGGCGTCTGCCTTTGAACTTTTAGCCTGTCCTGTCACGGTGTCACGGCCCATCTGTGAACAATCTGTCTGTCCAGCCACGGCCAAGAAGGCTGTTTATGAACTCTCTGTCTGTCCAGCCGTCCAGCCATAGGCTGTTTATGAACTTTCTGCCTGTCCAGTCATGGCCAAGGAGGCCGTATATGTGAACTCTCTACCTCTCCTGTCACGACTATGGAGGCCGTATGTGAACTCGCTGCATGTCCTGTCACGGCTATGGAGGCCATAAATGAACTCTCTGATTGTCCCGTCACGGCCAAGGAGGCCGTTTCAGAACCATCTACCTGCTCTGCTACGCTGAATGAGCATTGTTATGAACTTGTTGTC